CGACTTGCCGGGGAAGAGAGAGAAAGAAATAGAGAGAGAAAGCAAATACCGCCGGAGTGTTGAGATAGATTATCTCGCGACGTTCTATGATGAGAAGGAGCATAACTCCATTCACTCACGTCGCTGATGCTCGTTTTACGTCGTCGCTGGACATTTTTCGGACGATCAAGTTTAGGGCATTAGTCAATACCGGTTCTCCTGGTATCTTTCATTCATTATTCTCCCGTCGTCCGCTCGGAACGGCGCCACAGTGCTGATTCGTACGTACTCGGCCTCGTCGATAATTACATCTCGAACAGTAACGGCGCGATCATGAAAAATGATCCTCGAACGTCGGGGAAAATTTGCAGGTGCGCGGCGCGCGCCGAATCGGAGCAGCGCGTGCGATTAATCGTTCCCAAGCGCGATAAATCTACTTTGCGAGGGAGTATTTGTACAGAGGCGGGCGGTCGAGGCCAGTTATCGGCGTTATTGGAGTTTCCTCGGCTGTATCGCGCGCGCGTGTCGAGCCGGGGTTACGTTAGAAGGGGCAGCGTCAGCTGGAAGAGGAGGAGGAGGAGAGGGTGAAGAAGGGGCAAAGAGGGGGGGGGATGTAAGGGGATAGGCGGGAAAGAGGAGACGGACGATCTAACGATATGATGGTGGGGAGAGCGGTGGTGCTCGGCCGTTGCATTGTGGGGGTGTTGGCCTTCAACTTGACGGCGCAGTTTCACTGACCTGCCTGAGAAACTCGCGATGCCAGCTCCGTGTGGCGGACCTACGGACGACGTCGACGATGCCAAAGGGTACCGCTACTTAAGGGCCCCACGGGCACTAAACAAACCTCCTCGCCGCCGCGACCGAACGAGGGAAACTGCGTGGCCGGGACTTTGTGGTCTCTCGACGCGGGTCTCTCTCTTCGACGTGGGAGAGAAAATTCGTGGGCAATCCTCCTCCTCATGACGCGTGAGCTACCTCCGGACCGGGTCGGACGTGCACTTTTGACTTTTCCGACGCGGATCCCCGTTGGAGAGTCGCGATCTGTTCCGCATGTGAAATGTGGAAATTCACAACAGAGCGTTCTCGCATTGTACGTTTATTCTGTTGCACGGTAATTCAAAATTGGAGCGACCGATTACGAGCGAGATTCGATTTAACATCGCGGTAATTAAGCTTGCGCTTTTCCGCTCTAATTTCCCGAGAACATACCGACACGCAAAATCCCGGGACGATGGAATTTTATTTCTGCAGCCGGAGAGAGAAACGTCTCTCTGGATATTCGGCGGTCGTAATTAAAGCGAAAGACGAGCGAAAGCAGGTGGTCTACGGGATCGTCGTCCTTCTCGGGTCTCTCTCTCTCTCTTCTTCGTACACGACGGCGCTTCGGTCCTTTCGGAAAAGGATGGATAAGAATCGCTCCTTGCGCGGAGAAATGTCTCTTCAGAAGAAAGGTATCCAAATTCTCGCTCGCTCGCTCGCTCGCCCGTCCGTCCGTCCGTCCGTCCGTTTATCGTCGCCGAAATATATTCCTCCGCGAGCGTTCCTTCGCCGGACGGTCCGGAATCAACGGACAATGAGGATCATTTAAGAAAGTCGGGGGCTCAGCGGGAGGGACAAAGTTTCGGAGCATAGTCGGCGTGTAGCCTATATTCGGCGGCCTATGCACTCGAGGGTTACACGGGGCGTCTATAATGCAGAGCCGCGGACCGTGAAAGCCTGTAACTATTGATCCTGCGGCCTTTGGGGACTGCCGTGCTGCTGCCGCCGCCGCCGCTGCTGCTGCTGCTGCGGATTTTAGCAACGTCATCCGAGGCGCGCGCGTGACGTATCGTGGGAATGGAGAGTCGCGGCTCCGCCGAGAGAGGCTTTCGCTCATCATTATGCTCACTCGGTGCCACGTGCGGCACCGGCGCGCACCAGTCGTGTACACGAGTGACGCGTTTCCCTCGAATAGTAAGACAGCGAGTCGCGAGACGAGTTGCACACGCTGCTACCATTCTGTCGGCGGCGAAGTATTCTGTGACAACCGATCGAGTCCCGCTCGCGAATCCTCTTCGTCGCGTTCAAGCGCCGCCGATCCCCGAAGACCGAGAGATTCGGACTCTCTCCTGTGGTCTACGATTTCGCGAACGCAACACGGACGTCGGAGGTCGAACGAGGGACCGACGGGAAGGCCCTGAGAGACTCTGCTCGTTCCTTTCGATCCTCTCTTTTCGCCTTCTCTCGTCCCTTAAACCAGGCGAACAAAGCGAAGGGTCCCCTCGAGCGGCGTTCTCTCCGACGGACCGGGGCCTTCTTTCTTCTCTCTCTCTCTCTCTCTACCTCTCCTTTCCCTTCTCTCTATCTCGCCTCACCTTGGCCGCGGCCCTTCAACTGTCTACGACCCACGCCCCACCGCCTCCTCTTTCTCCGTTTGTGCCACCACCACCTCCTACATCAGTACCAGCACCAGCACCACCGCGGCAGCAGCAACAGCAGCAGCAGTACCAGCACCACCACAAGAGCCCACCATCGCCACCTTCCTCGCGCTCTCTTTCTACGAGAGCGGCAACCTTCCTTTCCCCTTAGCGGGTCTTCGCTCTCCTGCCGCGCGCGTATATTCACCTACCTACCTGTGCAAGTCCGTCTCGTGCGCGCGCCCGTGTTCCTCCGATCCTCGTCCACCTGCCTCGTCGTCGTTGCCTCCCATCGCCGGAGCGGAGAGAGACTGCGCCGAGTTATTTAGCCGAACCGAGCCGCTCCGGTTTGCCCTAGGCGAATTTCCGGAATAAGGGAGAAAGAGAGAGAGAGAGAGAGAGCGCGCGCCTCGGAGAAGCGGAAACTCCGTCGGGACTCGACGCGTGTTCCGAGTTGCACGCGAGCGAGAGAGAGAGAGCGGTTGCCATCGGGACGCTCCGCGTATCTGCCCATCTAACAATTCACGATGATTTAACGTGATGCCTTCGACGCCTGATACGGGAACTCGTCTTGTTTCCGAACGAGAAGTAGAGATCGAGCGATCGACGCGCAGGTGAAGTCGTCACTAGGGTGAAATTAAAAGAAGAAAAAGAAGAGAGGCGGGCTTTTCTTACGGGTTTCGCCCGAACGAGAACATTTATTTCTTCTTATTTTTCTTCCTCCTTTCGCTCGTATTTCGAAAAGCTCAATTCACCGAGACGAATAATACACGCGATGTGTAATTTTGTTTCTTTTTTGTTTTTTATCTGAGAGAGAAATAACCATTGGTTCACAACTAAATGAAAGAGATAATATTCGACTTCCGGTGCGCGCGCGAGACCACGCAGCGTCCCGCGTAATATACAGTCGAGTGAAGTTACGACTTTGATAGCGTTCACGCCCTCGAGACGACCTCACGACGTTCCCATACGTACCCCGGCGGGCCTCGGTTTCTTTCGCGTTCGCGTGTCGCCGATCGTTCGCGCGCTGCGTGTACATGCACATGTGTATATATATATGTACGTACACCACGCGCCTTTCGTTCCGTATCGATGTCAAGACTGTGCGCCGTGGTGCATGTCCCTGAAGAAGCGGGGAACGTCCGTGACATTGGCGTTCGTCGCCGCCGCCGTTGTTGCGCGAAGGTCCTAGGCATCCTTCGCTTTGCCGCGAGAGGCTCGTTCTCAAGCGTACTTCCACGCGCGCACGAACAAAGTATTCCGGAATTCATTCGCGGCCTTGCACTCATCCTCACACGCTCTTTCGCCCCGAATCCTGCCGCCGTCGTATTTTGCTTTCTTGAGCCGCGACGCGCGTTGGAAAATACAAAATTTGATTACACGAGGGAACTACGTGTGCACGAGAGGGAGAGCGGACGAGGGAGAGACAGAATGAAAGAGAGAGAGAGAGAGAGAGAGAGAGAGAAAGGGAGAATGCAAGCTGGTCGGGAAGGAGAAGCACGCGAAGCAGCCGCTGGTATGCGATGCAGCAACGTATACACGTCGCCTTCTCTCTCTCTCTCAACGTGACGAAGGAGAGAGTGAACTGAATGAAAGGGAGGCCGGGGCGAGAGAGGAGGATGAAGAGAGCGAGAGAGCGGACGAGAGATAGGAGAGGGAGAAAATGAGAGAGAACGAGAGGTTCTCAGGACGTGCGCGAAGGAGACGTTGAACGAACGAGCGAACGAGTGAGTGAGTGAGTAAGCGAGCGAGCGAAGGAACGAACGCGAAGAGGAAACGACGGAGAGGAGCAAGGAGCGAAAGAAGGAAAGAGAGAGGAGTGGTTCACCTGCATTGCTAGCATTGCGCTGGCTCAAGGCCAAAGAGTCTGCGAGACCGAGGACCAGACCGGGTCGGGACCTCCTTCCTTCCAGTTTCCTGCACCCTGCTCTCTCTCTCTCTCTCTCTCTCTTTTTTCTTCTCCGCTTCTTCTTTGCTCTTCGCGTTGCAATGCATCTCTCGCAGTGCGATACGCAAACAATCATTGCATCAGTGCGCGCTGCTGTTACTTTGGAAAGTCCAAGCGTGTGGGCGGCCTTGCGCTCGGACGAAATGTGACAAACAAATAATAATCGTCATTTGCGCACGTTAATTAACAATTAACCTTTCTTTGATACGTGTTCTGATGAATGTTTTCGAAAGGGGTTCAAGTCGAAAGATAGAATGACAAAAGTCAAGTGACTTTCGTTCGTGCGGAGTGAATTCTTCACTCTGAATCGTCGGGTGAACATTTTCATTCGAGATTCAAGAGCGGATCTGATGCACCGCGGTAGAAACAAATTCACTCTAATCGATTGGACGAAAAGGGTCCACTGGTGGTGTTCGCGATCCCGAGCGGCAGTCTTTTCACCGTCGCTTCGAGCGAACTTTCAGCCGTTTCGAGTGAGACCTCACTCAAAGAAATTGAGAGCAGCGCTTATTCGCACTCGTATACGATTCGTCGGGAAGAAGGCAGTCGACGACAACCGCGAACGAAAATCTCGTCTGACGGCTCGGGCGCGCGCTTAATTTTCACGGAAAATCGCGAGCGTCCGTGTAAGCAAGGTGAGAGTAACTGAACGTCTCTTTCTCTTGTTCTGATTGCAGGCTGCAAGATCAAGGCGCTCCGCGCCAAGACGAACACCTACATAAAGACGCCGGTGCGAGGTGAGGAACCGGTGTTCGTCGTGACGGGTCGCAAGGAGGATGTCGCCCGTGCGAAGCGTGAAATCTTATCGGCTGCGGAGCACTTTTCGCAGATCAGAGCGTCGCGCAAGAGCTCGCTGGGCGCACTCCTTGGCGCACCACCGGGGCCACCCACGTCGGTTCCTGGACACGTGACGATTCAGGTACGCGTACCCTACAGAGTGGTGGGTCTGGTCGTGGGACCCAAGGGCGCTACCATCAAGCGCATCCAACATCAGACGCATACCTACATTGTAACACCTAGTCGTGACAAGGAGCCGGTATTCGAAGTGACCGGTCTGCCGGAGAACGTGGAGTCGGCTAGGCGAGAGATCCAAGCTCACATCAGCTTGCGCACAGGCACGAGTGCGAGCGTGTGCGAGGAGGCTGATCTGCTGGGCGCGCTCTGCCGCGGCGGGCTCAGCTCAATTTTGACTTGCCTCGATCCGCCCGGTTCGAACGCCTCCAACGGTTCGAGCGGCGCGTTCTCGAGCAGCGGCAGCTGCAGCAGCTCATCCAGTAGCTCCGGTGCCGCAGGGATGAACGACATCGTGGCTATTTGGGGCGCTGGAGGACTGGAGAGAGACGAAGGTCTCGGGGAGTCGCCGTCATTCGAGTCGCAGCCGGCCTCGGCCTCTTCGATCTGGTCGTTTCCGAGTGTCACGCTACCGTCGAGGCCCTCACCACCGGCGTCGGCGAGCCCGGCGTCGCCCACGGACTCGCTTCTGGGCGGCGCACGGCGAGAGTGCCTCGTGTGCGGCGACAAGGAGGTTACGGCAGCGTTGGTACCCTGCGGACACAATCATTTCTGCATGGACTGCGGTACCAAACTCTGCGAGAGCATCGATCCCATCTGCCCGGTATGCTCCAGGCCGGTGTTGCAGGCACTCCGTATCTTCTCCTAAAGGCCCGCGCGGAGCCGCGTCAGCTGACCGCGCCGCGACACCCGGTATACGCAGCGGCTGCATCAACTTACCTTCTACCGTTCCTCGATACGAACGGCGGCTAGCTCCGGCGGATACGATGAGGACGATGACGACGTTGTCGTCGGGGAAGCACTCAGTAGCCCGCGACCGCGCAATCCTCGCCGATCGTCGCACGCTTCATCCTCATTATCATCGTCGTCATCGTCGTCGTCGTTATTACTGCGTCGTCTTCGTCGTTCTCGTTATCGTCAACGTTCTCATCATCGGCGTCGTCGTCGTCGTGGTCGTCCACCCGAAGTGTGTGATGCCGCCGTCGTCAGGGGACCGGACGCGCACAATGTCTCAATTCCACGGCTGCCAATATAATCTCTTTCACGCGACGGGAATGCCTCGACGCCCGTACGGTCGTTCGAGTCCGTCGTTCCCGCTGACCGGATACAACGAAGCCAGCTTTTAAGTTCTACGAGATATATATTTAGGAAGAGAGGGACAGAGATGGAAACATTGTCTCACCCCACCGTCATCGTCATCTCGCTTCCCTCCCCTTCGCCCCGCCCTCTGTAACCCCGCTCTCCTTCTCGCACCCGCCCCTCCTCCCCCTCGACGCTTGCGTAGATTAGGCTCGCGGCTCGTCGAGTACTAAGCTTTCTCGAGGCACACGCATATATACATATATATGTATACAAAATATATACATATATATTTATATATTTATATAAATATATGAGAGACGGCGCGAAGAGTACTCCCGTGTGTATCGCGCGAGTGGTACTCGATCGTACTGTCGTCCGGACTGACGCGAAGAAAAAAAAACATAAGAAACAGAAAATAAGAGAGCCTCTCTATCGCCCGCAAAGGATCGACGCTGCGACGATTCGACTGATATATAAATATGTATTTAGTAGCGAGACTGATGATTACCGAGACGCTACTTTTCTTTCTCCGCTAACCCCGGAGGCTAAAGGTCCGAAACATGGATCGATCGAGTCGCGGACCGACCGGCCTCGCCTTCCTGACTTTTACACTCGACACACGGTGCGTTGTTCTTGCGCATTGAGATAAAGAGAAAAAAAAAAAGAACGAATACGAAAAGAACTCTCCGCTCGTTCCTGAGATTTCTCTTGGTCGAACGTTTGCTGGGAACCGGAGGCTGCTGCTTGTTCAGCATGAATCTTAGAGCTTTCGCGAGATATTTTTTTCTTCTCTCTTGTTACCTTTTCTTCTTTCTTACTTTCATTTTCTGTCTTTCTTAGTAATAACTACGACTGAGTGAACCACGTTCAAATCATGTCCAAAGATATGTATCTTTTCGATTTCTTGATCGCTTCTCTAAGCTTCGTATATGTATACATATATGTACGTATATATACATATATTATTCGGTCAAAGCATGCTTACTACGCTCGTATTTTCCAGCCGACAACGAGTACATACACACATACTCACGATTTCCTTTTAGTCCAATGACGGGGGAAGATACGAAGCTGACATTTTTTATCTTAATGCAATGTTTGATTTTGTGCCAAAAGGGCTGGACAAAGAGAGGATCATCTCGATAATTTCACCAAGATTGCGCACTGGGCAACCGTAAGAATATTCCCACGGGCCTCTCCTCATTCGGAGCTTTCCTCACACGAAGGAATAACGAAAAACGTACGTACGTCTTGATCTCAGCGTTCGTTCGGAACGCGCGTAGAAAGTGTTAAGTTCTTATCATCGATCCGGGAGGAGGTTTTCCGTTGCCGAGTGTACAATTACGGACTCGACGAACCTGCGAGCTCGTCGCGAGTGCGACAGTGAAGATTACCGAGAATTACCAACACGTATACACGACATCGCAACACATTTACTCTGATGCACATACACACACACACACACGCCCAAAGGAACACACTGATAGATGATCTCGCACAGACATCCTACACGTGAAAAAGAGAGGGAGAAGAAGAGGGTCACGGGCCCCTCGATTCGCCACGAAATCACGTAGTGATATTGCGCGGACGGCGCGTTTGTTCCACCCGGCTTCCCTCGCCACTAGAGAGTATTATCTTAAACAATATCTTTATATAAGCGACATATTATAATTGAAATAATAACTATAAAATTATATACATACATACACGTATATACATACATATATATATATATATATATCGCTATATATATGTATGTGTATATTGTGTGTCGGGAAGTATCTGTGAAGCATGAGTGTAAACGGGCGAATGTGAGGAAGAAAGCGACGAGTGAATGAGGGAACACAGGCGGTGAATAATATTTTATCGAAACAAGATTTAGATTTTGTATTTTTCGCGCGTTTCGCCGATGGGACGGCGGGTGGTCGGCTAGGCCGTAATGTCATTCGAGAGGAAGTAGAGAAAGAAAGAGAAAAACGGGAACGTTAAAGAATGAAAGAAAGAAAGAAAGGAAGGTAGAAAGAGGGACAGAAAATTATATTTAAGAATCCGTCGCGGCTTAGAGAATACGGGAAATTGCAAGTAGAGAGAACGCGAGGCAGAAAGGTGAAAAACAAGGATAAAAAGACGTAAAGAATAGAGCACACATACACACAGAGCGCGTCGAGGGGCCGCGCGTCCGCTCTCTCAAGGCAGGAAGAACGAGCGTTTTAGAAACGAGGTCGGTCGATGCGCCGGCGGCTCTCGTAAGTGTATTCTTCGACTAGTAATAATCGAGCGATCGCTAAACCCGATCGTCGGAAAAAAAAAGGAAAAAAAAAGAGATAACAGAAAAAGCGATACTCGTTTCACGTAGGGATCGACGTTTTTAAATACACACTCTCACACACAAACACATACACACACGTAGTGTGTCTTTTCTTTCGTTGAAGAGGCGCGTAATCGCATTATCGCTATTAACCTTTTGCATTTAATATCTAATATCTCTCTCTATATATCCTCCTCTACGTGTATGTATATATATGTATATACATGTCGACGTGTATATTTATACGTATGTATACATATATGTACGCAAAAACCGCGTGGATGTGTATCGACGATCATCATTCGCGTGTCCGCGCGTGTGCCTGTCTTCGTTACACATCCGTTTCGTTCTATCTTCTACACACGCGTCAACGTACCCGCTTCCTCTCCGGGACACACCGGGTTCGCGCACGACCGGAGGAAGGACGAGAGCCCTCTGTGCATGTGCATGCGCGTACACACACTACATGTACATCTCTCTCTCTCTCATACATACGTAACACACGTACACACATAGGGTCTCATCGTCGTCCTCCCTCCTCCATGTTCTCGCGGACGGGCGTCGCGCGCTCGGATCGTAAAGGTTCCCGGGAGCGAACGAAGGGCTCCCATTGCGCAGTGTCCCCTGCGAGGTTGAAAATCGCCAGTACGACGCGCGTTTCTCCTTCGCGCGGGAGAGGGAGCACGCTTGTGCGTGCGTGCGTGCGTGCGTATATATTATATCCTCGCGTTTCTTACGGTCAGTTTCTTCGTGTAATCTCGTTTTCGAAGAAGGACGAGAAAGGGGGAAGAAGCTAATCAAACCAACCGGGGCCTCCGCGGGGCCTTGTTTTTTTACGGCGCCGCGACCAACAACAGGAGGGACAAACGGACAAATTCTCTCCCCCCGATTCGCCCTTCTCCCCTTTCCGTACCCTTAGAATTTATTATCCCGAAGAGCGAAACGCGGTAAGCCGAACGTGAAATAACCGGCGCGGGGGCAGCGGTGATCACCGTCGCTTCCGCATAGTTGGTGTTTCCGTTTTTCCCCTCGCTTTTCGACATCGAGTCCGTATTACCCCGCGTATATGTATCCAGTCCGTTTCCCTTCTCCCTCCCTTCCCTCGATTGCCTACGCCCCTCCCTTCCCATCGCCCACTTCGTCGTTGTCGTCTGCATTTCTATTTTTTTAATCGTCGAGAGTTCTTGTCAATCGTTGCCATTTTTTAAACGAAGATATGCTCAAGTCGCAGCTCCGAACACAAGTCGAGGTATATTATATATAATGCATATTACATATATTATATATAAATATATATATTATATATATATCTAAATCGCCCATCGTACGCGACGGTGGGCGTCGAAAGACGAGAAAGGATATTTTTTCGATCTTTCTGAACACACAAGACTCGCTCCTTTTTGTTTGTCATCTTTCTATATTATTAATATTATTATTATATTTCATTCTTTCTTAATTTTTGTCGCGAATGAAATAACGTATCCGTTCGTCGTGCGCTTCGTTTCGTGTTTCTTCAGTCCAGTTCCTCCCAGTGATTTTTTCCCGTGATCATATAAACACACACACACACACACACACACACACACACACAGAGCGATCCTTCGTTCCGCGAGGCTGTCTCCTGTGCTCGCGACCGCGAGACAGCGAGGAACGAAGACTCGCGCTTTCACTCATCCGATTAAACGCACGCTAAAAATAGATTCGCGTACGCAACGAGCCCGTCGGAGGGTTTGCGAAAGAAACACGCGCGAATTATATATTTGTATATTATTATTTGTTAACTATATGCCAGCATTCGAAATACAAACAGAGTTACACACGCAACACACCTCCCTTACATACACGTAGCACACGAGGCACACCACACACGACGCGTATACATACATACATACATACATATATATATATATATATATATATATATATATATATATAAAAGTGTATATATATTATAATCGATGAGAGAGAAAGAGAGAAGTTTATTATATTTAAGTTCGAGGTAAAGTAAATTCTATATTTTTTCTATGTTAAGTATAAAGAAAGAAAAAGATGCGTAAAAGGAGAAGCATAATGGTGAAGCATAACACAGATATATATTATATTATATATATATATATACACACATGAAATATATTTATAGGTATTCTCTTTAGCGTCTGCGTTCCGAGTTACGAAGACGCGTCTCGCCGTGCCGAGCGCGAGAAACGCGAACGGCCGGCACGCACGTGCGTATATATGTAGATTATGTCAGATTAGGT